ATGGTTATGGACAAAAATAACATGCGCAGGCCCCACTGCCCCCCACAACCTGCCTCCCCCATCCCTACTGCCAAATACACGGTATGCAGGGACCAGCCAGCGCTGAGCTGCAGCCACTTCTGGGGTGGGCCGGGGCCAGTTTAACAGCCACATGCACTACATGGCTGTGCAAACATGGCTGTTTAGGACAGGAAGTGAAAGCCGAGGTCATAGCAGGGGAGATGGAGTTGGGGTGCCTGGCCCGGCTCTGGGGTGAGCCCCCATAGTAGGAACCAACCCAAGGGCAGCACCTCGCAGCCCTCCTGGGCCTCTGGAGTAGTTCTGACCCCACAAGGGGCGGAGCCTGGGCAGCTCAGGGCGGAGCCTGCCCCTAGCTGTGCCACCCAGCACTCACTATTCTAGGGCTGGACAGCCTCCCCAGATCCAGCAATGTGCTCCCTGTCGTGGAAAAGGGGGGGTCTGAACCAGTCACGGGGTGCCCCCAGGCACCCCCAAATCCTCACTGTGGGAGCCCCCTGGTACTCCTGAACCCTCACTATGTCAGCCCCCTGGGAACCTCTGAACCCTCACTGTGTGAGCCCCGCAGGCACCCCCAAACCCATTGCTGTGTGTGTTCCTCGCCCCCCTGAACCCATCACTTTGCCACCCCAAACCCTTCACAGGGAGCACTCCTAGGCACCCAAACCTCTCACTGTGCTCCCCAAGCCCCACCCACTGCCCTCCAACCTGTCTGTGTCCCCCAGAGCCCTGGAGGCGCCTTGCTCCCCCAGTCCATTGCTCTGGCTGCACCTTGGCACCCCAAGCCCATTGCTGAGACTGCTCCCTGGTCCCCCAAACCTCTGCAGATGTGCTCTGAGCGGGGCTTGGCAGCTGTTTCCCGGCGCCCCGGCAGCCGGCCCTGCTCCACAGCTGGCTTTAGCATTCACACAAGAATGACAAAGGAAAATAAATAGGAGGATCTGGGCTGTGAGAATTGCACAGAAAGGGGGGAGCAGGAAGGGCTCACAGAGGAGGAGGCTGTTAGACCCGGCGCTTTGCAAAGCCTGGGGCAGCAGCAGAGGGAGCTAATGCCCTGGGGGGAATAGAGGGGCTGTGACTTGTGCCCCTAGCAGACATCGCAGCCCTGGGGCAGGCAGCTGCCTTGGGACCTGAGGCCATTCCCATAACTCAGTCGGGATCCCAGGCGCCCAGCGGAACTGCTGATCTCCAGCCCAGGGGACATCCCAGCCTGTCCATAACAGAGTCCTCATGATGGCTGTGTCTCAGCCCCCATGAGATGAGTTGGCTGGGCCTCAGCCTGGAGGTCACTATCTGCCCCCTGCAATAGGCTAGGCCCCAGGTTGGCAGCCTCAGCCAAGCTCTCCGCTGCCCCCAGAGGGGCCTGTCCCAGGCAGGGGGCGGTGCATTGCTGGGGTCTGGGTGCAGATGCTTGCCCTGCAGTAGATGACTCTTCAGGGCCTGATTAACAGAGATGCTCAGCCCCCCTGAAATGAGCCCCATAGCTCCAGCTATGCCCCATATCCCATGCCCCTTGGTGTCATGCGGAGACCAGTCCAAAGACGGGAGCATGGCCTGCCGTGTGCCAGCCTCAGGGCACTCTGCCACTTAGTCACAATTGGGGCAGCTGGGCGTGCCCCACCCCATGTGCTGTGGGGTGAGGGGCCCGGAGAGCGTCACCTGCCCCCCCCCGGCTCACACAGCAGCTGTGCCCGCTTCAGTCAGTGGGGTCTGAGATGGCGGCAGCAGCGCTGCGGCTAGTGAAGGAGTAAAATGAGTGTGACGATATCCCATCCTCACCGAGGGTCAAGACAGTGGGATGGGAACCGGGGCTCCATCGTCCAGACAGCCCCCCAGCACCACCCGGCCTGTGACCCAGCCAGCAATTCCCTGAGCCCCACTGCTCCCTGGGGAGATCGGTCTCACCCCATGATATTGGGGGCTCAGGTGCCCCGAGGGGAGGGCACCTGCCCAAGGCCACCCAGTGAGTTTGGGGGAGATTTGGGATCAGAATCCTGGAGCACAACCCCCTTCCTCCCCCAGATGAGCCTGAATCCCCAGGCCCCACCAGGAACCTTCTCTCTGGAGAAAATGGTTCTGCCAGATACACCCCCACTGCCAGCTGCCGTGGGGGCAGCAGGGCTAGGAAGGCTGCAGGGGAGGTTCTGCTGTGCAGGGTTTCTCCTCTGAGCTGCTGAGAGGTCTAAGGCCAGGGAGCAGGTGGGCCTGGGGGAGGAGAGCGGGCCTGGGGGAGGAGAGCAGCCCTGTAGGGAGGGCACTGGGCTGGCCCCCAGCAAGACCTAGGTTCTGTTCCCAGCTGTGCTGCAGCCCTGCTGGGTCACCTTGAACAGGTCACCTCCCCTCTCTGGCCTGTTTGCTCTCCCAGCCTGTGTCTGCTCAGCCTGTGAGCTCTGTGGGGCAGGGACTGTCTCTCCCTAGGCAGCTGTGCAGGGCAACGGGGCCCTGATCCCAACTAGGGCATGTATATGGGCCACGCTAGCAATAACTCCCACCAGTACCAGCACCTCTGAGAATCAGGACCCCTGGTCTCTTGTGATGGAGCAATCTCTTGGGGGGGAGGGGCAGGGCAGCCCCTGTTCCCTCCTCAGGAGGCCAGTCACATGTGCCAGAGGCTGAGAATTGGGAGCAGGCAGTTGTCTGTCTGTCCCACATGCCGACCAGTAGGAATAGCAGTGAGCTGGGGGGCAGGCTGTGGTTGGGTGGTGGGTGGGGTGCTGTGCCAGGGAGCAGGAGGCCTGGTTCTATTCATGCTCTGCCACTGAGTTGCTGAAGGGCCTTGGGCAAGTCATTTCCCCTCCCTCCCACTGTATGGTATTGCTTGGCCAGGGGGGCTGTGGCTCGCAGCTGGCTGTGAAGCCCTATCAAAGCGCAGTGTTAGTAGTGGGATTAGAGCCCCCCAGCCCTGTGCCCATTCCTCCAGAGAGGCTTCTACTGCCTGGGTCGCCCTAGTCAGACAGGACGGAGCTTCCTGGTATGTGATTGCCCAGGGAGGTTGCACATGAGCCTTGGTGTGGCTGTGGCAGCCAGACCCAGGGGGTCAGGGTGCAGACGCTCACCCAGCTGTAGATGAATCTTCAGGGTCTGATTTTCAGAGTGCTCAGTGCCCCTGCAAAGAGCCCCACAGCTCCCTAGCTCTGCCCCATATCCCATACCCCTTGGTCCCTTCATGTCCTCTTCCTCAAGTAGAAGTCAAACTGCCTTCACCCCCACAATTTGCCTCCTGCAATGACACCTGGCTTTCTGGAGCTTGGAAGAGCAGTGTCTGGGCTGAGCTGTCTTGTCTGAATTGCCTTGAACTTGCCAGGAAAGCTCCATCCTGCCAGGGCAGCATGAGGCCGAAGGCTCTGGGCTGGCAATGTTACCAGTGTGGGCACAGCGGGGCCCAACTCCAGCTGGTGATGGAGCAAGGGGGGGCTCTGCACTGAGGAGGGGCAAGTGGCTCTCTCCAGCCCTTGAGCAGCTGGGGCCAAGTGGCAGGAACCCCCGAGATACTAACCAGCCCCCCGGCGTCTCTCTCTAGTACCCCTGGCTGGTTCTGCTCCAGCTGGGACTCAGTTCATCCAAGGTCTGCTCTGTTCCATCCCCGAGTCTGCCTGGCTCCCCCCAAATGCTAACAAAGCAGGGGGGATCCTGCCAGGGCTACAGCCGCCCCAGTGTGCGGACCCCACCAGTCGACTCGGGTTGGAGTTGCCGGAAGCGGGGGTGGATGAGGGGCCGCCCCTCGCCACAGCCAGCCAGCGATGGAAACTTTCCCCTCCTTGGGGACTTGGATGCTCATAAAAAACAACCGCTTTTTTGGTCATGTTGGAGGGAGGATACATGACTCTGTGGGAAAGGCCGAGGCTATGGGGTCTGAGCCAGCACATCCCTGACCCCAGCACACACCGCTGCCTGTGCCCCCTCCCCCACCCTGCTGGAGGGGGGGGGCAGGTTTGTACCCCTCTCCCCTGGGGAACCTTTATCCGGTCGCTCAGAGATCTCCCAGCAGAGCCCCCCACTGCATCCCGCTCCCTCCATAGTCATCTGTCCCCCGGAGCCCGAGCCCCACTGAGCGCCGCGGTGCCCCCTTCTCCCCCTGCCTGCAGCGAGGGAGCGCGGCCAGCCCCCCGCCACCTGCCGGCGCTAGCTGCAGCGCGGGGCTGGGCCTGGCCGGGAGCGGGCTGGGCAGGAGGGAGCGTGGGAGCCCAGGGAGGAGGAGGCCGGGCCCCGCCCCGCGCAGAGGAGGGGCGGCCGGGCCGGGACTCGAGTCGCTGCTGGCGGGGGAAGTTTCCCAGGGTCCGGGAGGGAGGGAGGCAGCCTGGCTGCGCTGGTGTCTGGCTTTGCGGCGCGGGGCTCTTGGCCCCGCCATGGATCTCTAGGGCGGGGGCGGCGGAAGAGCGGGCTCCGGGTCCGGGATCGCGAGCGGAGCAGCGGGATGGGCTCGGGGGCCGGGTCCCGGGCGCTGCTGGGCGGCAGCCTCCTGGGCATCGCGCTGCTGGCGCAGCTGGGAGCCGGAGCAGGTAAGGGGGCAGGGGATCCCGTGCGGGGGGCGCGCCGGCTGTGGGAGTTGTGGTCTGGAGAGCTGGAGCGGGGATCGCGGCAGCTGCGAGTGCCAGGGGACCCCCGCCCCCCGGCGAGCTCTTGTTGCTCAGTGTTGGGGCAGTTTCGGGGACCCTGTTGTTGAGGGGGTCCTCTCTTGGTGTTTGGGGGTCCTGGCGATTTCGGGGCCCGCAGGTTGGCGTTCCGGGGGGGGGGGCTAGGGGCGGGGGGGAGGGGGGCGGGGGGCTCCGGTCCCTTCACTTTCTCTTTATAAACTTTGCAAAACGTTTTTGGGGGGGGGGGGGGGGTTCAAAGCCAGGAATCCGCCGCGCGCCCCAATGATGCGGGCTCCCCCGGCAGGGATCAGCGGCTGAATCGGGGGCTCAGGACGGGGACGGCTCCGTCCAACTTGGGAGCTACTTGTAACCCGTCTCTTGTGCGCTCCCCCCTGCTCGGAGCCCCCTCCCCTGTCTGCGCTGGGGGGAGGGGGCCGGCCCTGTGTCTGAGCACAAAGAAAATACTTAATCATTGTATAATCCCCGCTTGGGGGAGGGGGCTGCGCGGCCCCTGCCCCGCGGCTGGGCTGGGCTGGGAGTTCGCAGGCACTGATTTGAGGCTGCGGGGAACAATCCTGCGCTCCTCTTCTTTCACTATTGACTAGAAGTAAACTTTCCTCGCAGCCTGCGCCAGCCAGCCTGGGAGCGTGGGGAAACCTGGCGCTGGAGCGCGGATCCGGCTTCCCCAGCCGGCGCCTTCCTCCTTGCCGCCCTTCCCCCTCTCTGCGGTCGCGGCCTCCTGCCCATGAAATCCCCACGAGCCAGGCGCAGAGCGTGGGGGGATCCCATTGCACTGAGGTGGGGGCTGTACAGTGGGGGGAGCAGGGATTTACATGAAACGGCTTCCGGGGGGCGCTGGGGCTGACCTTACATTTGATGGCATTTCTGTTGCGGTTCAGGGGGGGGCTGATGTCCTGCCCAGATGCTCCAGCAGCTGCTTTGACTCTGGTCTCTTCCCAGCCCCGATGCTCAAACTTTTTGTGTTGGAAAGTAACTCCGAGGCCCCGTCCTGGGGCGCTCCCAGACCTGCCCGGGCTGGGGCATTGGGGCAGGGCACCCGCTGGCTAGGAAACACTGAGGAGGCTGGGAGAAAACTTCAAAATGCTTACCCAGCTCCGCATTGGGCCAGCTGGGATCTGGCCTCGCCTGGCTCTGCCGGGCAAGTGGCAAACTCAGCAAGAGTCCTGGGAGCCCAGCTGGTCAGCCAGCGGCCCCCCACCCGCCAGTGAGTGTGAGCTGGGACTCGAGGTGATGCATCTGGGAGATAAGATGATTTAATTGCGTGTCCTGCACCGACTTGCCAGCACACAGCAATGTGCCAGCAATGAGAGAACTGCTGTGAAAGGTAAATACAGTGCAGGGTTATTATTCAGCGTGGGTTTCACTCGCCCATGAAGCTGCTGGACTGGTTTGTGCAGCTTGGGGAGGCCGACCTGCTGCCTGCGCTCCCAGCTAGCGCATGGGAACACATGTGGATGGGCCCAGGGTCTGTAGGATGGCTGCTGCAGGTTGTGGATGCCCTGAAGTATAACCCCCTCCACCCCCCCTTGCTGCCTGGCTGGACATAGACCAGCATTGTTCTTGTTGAGCAACTCGCTGCATTGCGGGAGTCCCGCCGTGCTGTTCGTTCCTGAGCAGCGCGTGGCCCCATGGCTAGACGGGGTCTGGCCACTCTGCCCCCGCACAGACTGCTGGTGCCAACCCCCCCTTGCAGGAACTTGGAGCGTCTCTGTCCTGGAGCCAGCCTCCAGATGCACCCAGACAGCGTCCTCACTAGGGAAAGGCACCTCTAGCCCCGACTGAGGCAGAGGCCTTTGCAGCTCCAACTGCTTGGGGGCTGGGAGGCCTTGGGCTCAGCTCAGGTCTCTTCTGGGTAAATTCTTGTCTTGGGCAGTAGTAGTGGAAATCAGGAGGCAGCAGCCTGGTCCTCCCGTCCTGGGGGGGGGGGGGAGGGACTGGCCCAGTCCCCCATTCTGGGGATGAGGTCTTGTGGGGGACAACAGCCTAGCTCCCCGCCCCCATCCTGGGTATGAGGTCCTCCTACCTTTGCAAAGTCTCCCTTTCAGGACTTTCCCTGGTTGATTTTTGCCACCCCCTGTTTAACCTCCCCCTTCCTCCAGAGCAGCCTGGCTCCCACAAAGCTGGCTTCTCTGTGCCCTGCTGCAGCAGCGTGGGCTCCCCGGAGCGCTGTTGCCCCCTAAGTGAAGGGGCTGGTGGGGGCAGCTGCCCCTGTGGAATGAGGTGGGGTGGGGAATTGGGTGGCAGGCAATGGCTCGGTGGTGCTGGCCCCCTTCTGGGTGCTGGTCTCTGTCATTCACCCACAGAGTTGGAAGGGACCTTGAAAGTTCATTGAGTCCAGTCCCCTGCCTTCACTGGCAGGACCAATTTTTTGCCCCATCCCTAAATGGCCCCCTCAAGGATTGAACTCATAACCCTGGGTTTAGCAGGCCAATGCTCAAACCACTGAGCTATCCCTCCCTGCCCCTCCCCAGTGCTGGCTATGCCCAGGGAGCGCTCAGAGCTGCAGCAGCTGCCTCCCCTCCAGATGCAGGAGAGGGCCGGCTGGCTGGGCCATTCACTCACCTGCCCCTTTCTTCTCCCCACTGCGTTGCTAGCCTGTGAACAAAGCGGCCAGGCAGCTGGAGAGCTGTGGAATCTGGAGAGGGCCCTGGAGCCGCCTGAACAATCACACTGGCTAATCCGGTTGTAAACACTCCTCCCACAGAGCCGCTGGCTGCAGCAATAGGGAGACCCAGGGACCCAACCGGCCAGGGAGGAGTGGGGCTGGGGGGCCCGCCTGCCCCAGCACAGCCAGCGCAGGCCATGCTCTCCTGCCCAGCTGGCAGGACAGTGTGGACCTGTTCTCAGGGGCTCTCTGCCTGGCTAGTGAGCTCCCTTCCCTGCTGCCTTGGAGACTGCTAGAGCTTTCCCCAAGACAGCATCCAAATGTGCCCCAAAATCAGGGCCTGAACCTGCTCGCCCACCCAGGATGGAGACCAGGAATCCTGGGGCGGGTGGCGTCTCCCGAGCCCCCCTCCACTCATGGGCTTTTAGCAACACTGACCCCTTCCCCCACCATGGGGAGAGTGAGGGGCAGGTGAGCCTCCCCGGGCCCTGCCGGGGGTGCCAATTGCACTGAAGGGTGCCTAATGGGGCCAGTGGTAGGGGTCCGGATGCTGGGCTTGGACTGCACCTTGGAAGTGACAGGTCCTGTCTCCCACTCCCACCACCCCCGCACCAGTCGGTCCCCCTGCTCTGGGCTGGGTCACAGAGGCCCCGACTCTCCCAAGCCAACCACTTGGCTCTGAATTGGCTGCACTGTTGGGGCAGGGGCAGTTGGCTGTGTCTGCCAGGCCAGGGGAGCCAGCTCCGCTGTCCTGTGACGGTCAGTTCTGGTCCATCCGTGGGTCCTTGGCTGGCAGGAGCAGCCCTTCCCCTGCCCTGGGGAGTGGGGGAGTTGCAGCAATGGGATCCCTGACTGAACAGCCTGGGGCGCTGGCTGAACCCTCCCTGGCCCCTGAGCTTCTCATGAGCCTTCACAAATGCCACAGAGGAGGCAGGTTGGGGCTACTTCTGCCCCAGCATAAATGACTCCGAGAGGGCAAGTGACTGGCCCAGTCGTTGGCAGAGCTGAGGATAGAACCCAGGAGTCCTAGCTGCCTCACCTTCCCCTGGGCCATTCCTCTCTGGGTGGCTCTGGATCCTGTGTTCTGCTTGGCAATGTACATTGGGCTGGCTTGGCCTTTGGGGTGCTGTTTCAGGCAGTTGGGAGTTCCAGCAGTCCCTGGGCTGGCTGCGGCTGTCGGGTCCCTGCCTCACTGCACTAGCTTAAGTGGTCCTGGTAGGCTGCCTGTGGTCAGGATCCCAGGGCGCTGGGGCTGCTGGGCAGCATGGGTCGGGGTGGGAGACTCTATAGGTGTGTGCCCTGCCTCGCCTGGCATACCTGTCAGGAGAGCATGCCGGTCCCTGATGCAGAGGGGTAAGGGGCTGTGTCCCAGCATGCACTGCCCCTGTCTCAGCTGTGGGGGGCGGGGGATTACGGGTGCTGGGGCTGGGCCAGGTGTGTGTCGGCACGGTGCCCCCCTCGCTGCCTTTGAGCCCCCAGGGCTCAGTGCTGAGCCCCCACTGCTCGCAGCACCTTGCCTGCAGGGGCTGATGGGAGACTGTGCCCCAGGCCTGCTGGAGTGAGAAGCTGGGGGTGCGGGTGCGTGTCGGTATCCCACTTTGGACAGCAGGACTTCGGGGAGGTGTGGGGGGTCGTTCTGTGCCTCTCACCCCCCCAGGAATCCCAGAGCCCTCCGGGGCAGCAGAGCCTCCAGGGTCATCCTGTCTTACCCTGCCTTTGGCAGCGTGGTGAACTCCCCCAGCGTTCCCACAGCCTCTTATCTCCACGGTCCTTTAATTTCTGCAGTGATGGGGCCTTGACGGCTGCTGGGTTTATTTTTTGGGGGGGGGAAGTGGGCGCTAGTGGGTTAGAATTGGGGGTGGGGCTGGCAGTCAGGACTCCTGGGTTCTATCCCTGGCTTTGGGAGGGAAATGGGGGCTACTAGGTTAGAGTGGGGGAGTGAGGTCGGTAGTCAGGACTCCTGGGTTCTATCCCTGGTTTTGGGAAGGAATTGGGGGCTAGTGGGTTAGAGTAGGGGTGGGGCTGGCAGTCAGGACTCCTGGGTTCTCTCCCAGTTGTGCCACTGACTCGCTGGGTGACTTCAGGCAGTCCCCTTCCTATCTCTATGCCTTAGTTTCCTGTTGGTGCTCTCTTTGGAGGGCTGTGCATGCTGAGGGTTCCCCATTGCACTTCCTATCAGGCCTCCCTGCAGATGGGGAGTTGGAGCTGGCACCCAAGGGGTTAATGTTCTGGGACCCCTCCCCCCCATTCTGACTCTAGGCTGGAAGAAGTTAGGACTCTTCTTAAAACTCTCCCCCCCTCCGCTGCTGGGCCTGTCCTGGGTATCACATTGGGGGGCGTGGGACCCCCTCATCGCACGTATCCCAGTGTGGAACAGGCCCCAGACACATCTGTGCCTGACAGGCGGCGTTTTGCCGCTCCCCAGACACATCTGTGCTTGACAGGCGGGGTTTCCGTGCGGGGCCTGAGCGTCCTCCTGGCACCTGGGGCAGCCCCGCCAGCTACCCAGGAGAATGAGCCTCTCAGCATCTCGTCCCCCTCCCCCAAAGCTGCCGCGCCTGGGGCCCCTCATGGGGCTGGGGGTTGGCGCCAAGGGCGAAGGAGCCCAGGGATCAGGGTGTGGGGGGGGAGCTGTCTAAGCCCGATGCCACCCCTTCGGTTGCAGCCTTGTGTGGGGAGGGGGCTGGCCGGCCGGCGGAGCGAATTCCACTGCAGCACTGGCTCTGGGGACTGGAGTGGGGGAGAGGGGCGGGGGCGGCATTGTCTCTGGGAGCTAATCTGTGTGCTGGGCACGCAGCGCGCTCCAAGTGGGTCTGGAGGAAATAGCTGGTGGGGGAAGGAGCGAGGCCCCTGAGCCCTATGTGGCCTGTGGGGCCCAGGCTTGGCCTCCTCTCTCTCTCTGTATGGGGGAGGGGAGGGGGCTGTTGGGTTTGTGCCTCGTCCTGCTCCTCAGCCATGGAAAACTGCTGCTGGGCTTTCCTTTTGGGATCGGCTCCTCCACGGGGCCTGGAGCTGCAGCCCCAGGGGCATAGAGATGTCTGAACCCCCATTTATTCCGGGGGCCAATCCAACTGTGACCAGCCCACCCTACCCTTCCAGTGAGTCCCATTAGAAGCCCAGGCAGTGGCCCATGGGTGTGGGGTGTCTCTAGTTTGCCCCCCGCCCCATGCTAGCCCAGCTGCTGGCAGAGCTGCCCAGGGGTCTGGAAGGGGAGAGGGCTCACAGGGCTGGGTATCCTGGCCCCTCGACCCTAGATTGGGTCCAGCCAGGGCTGGTAGCTGGTCCCTGTCATCCTGGCACAGGCAGCCTGGGTCTCACTCTCCCTGGGGAGGCTTCTTCAGGAGCCTGTGGGGCTTGGCAGAGCTGGGGCTGCCCTGGACAACAGGTCCCCGTGCTGGGGACTGGGAGGGTGGGCTCTGAGTCAGTCTCCCACAGAGCGACCCTACATCCCCAGGCTGTGGGAGCCTCGCACTCAGGGTGGAGGCAGAGGGCTGGGCTGGCTGTAGGGTGAGCTGTGGGTGGAGGTTCCTGGCTCGTTTGTCGGGGAGCCGTGGGGCCTCGAGCTGCTGTAACACCCAGGATGGTTCAGTCGCAATCCCCTCCCAGCTGTGCTGCTCTGTCCCCTGCATGTGGGGCCGAGGCCCCCGGCTCTGTTCTGCCTGTAGCCCTGTGCTGCCTGGCATGGCCCAGCTTCCTTGGCAGGGTCTGAGCCGAGGTTCGAGCTGGCAGGCTACTGCTGTATGAGGGGCCCGGGAAGGGGCAGAGATTAGCAGGGCAGGTCCCTGGACACTTGATGAAGACACTGGCTGGGCTCTGAGGCCCTGACAGGCCCAGCTCTCCCTGTGGGGTCCTGGTGGCCTGGGCCCATGTGCCACAGGGCAGAAGGTTCTCGGAGCAGGAGCTCTGGGGGCTGCTGTCCCTTTGATCCCAGGGGGTGCGGGGCCCTAGCATCTGACTGGAACGTGCAGGTTGTGCCTGGAGCCCTGGAAACCCCTGTCCCCCTCCCCCTGTGCTGGATGGCACTGGGGGCTGGTGGTGGTGGCGTCACACAGACCTTTCCTTGGCTCACTGGTAGGGGGCACCCCCAAGCTAAACTTCCTAGTCTTGCATGGAACTTGTCTGTCAGCTGCCCTCCTCCTGGTTTGTGGTGTGTGTGTGTCTTCCCTTTGCCTGCTGCTGCTGGGATGAAACGTTCCCCATGCAACTTCAGTACCAATGTTAGTGTGGCGTTGACTCTGAAGCCTAATGATGGCTGTTTGAATCCCAGCCCTGATAGCAGCATTGCTGTTGATCATTTCAGGGTGGGGCTTGGGGTTATGGGCAGGGTCCTGCCATATCCATCCCGTTTATGGGGCGCTCCGATGTTCCCTGAGGCTTGCCCTGAACAGTGTGCTCTAAGCCAGACGGGTGAGGATTTTAAGGTCAGGCTTGACAAAGCCCTGGCTGGGATGATTTAGTTGGGAATTGGTCCTGCTTTGAGCAGGGGGTTGGACTAGATGACCTCCTGAGGTCCCTTCCAACCCTGATCTTCTATGATTCTATGGACCAAGGACCATCTGGGTGGGGCGGGGGGACAGGGAAGCAAAGAGCAGCTGCTGTCAGGGGTTGCTGCTAGGAAGCCCCCTGGATCCCAGTGCCCTGATGCCCCTACCTTGGTGGCATGGCCAGTGACTGAGCTGGGCTTCCCACTGAGGGGCTGGGTGCGAGGGAGCTCTGCATGGGGATGGGGGCAGGGAGGTGAGGGGGCCACTCCTCTCTGCTCTAATGGGCTCTCTCCCGCTCTCTCCCTGCAGCCGTGCAGTGTCTGGAAGGCTCCATGCCCTGTGAGAATGGCGGCCAGTGCATCCTCTACTCCAACGGGAAGGCAGCCTGCGTGTAAGTGACCCCCTGCCCTGCAGGTTGGGATCCATGCCCGCTGCCATCCAGCACGGGGCTGTGGGCAAGACGGGCTCCATGGTGGTGGAGTGTTGCTCACAGGCGGTGGGGGTGGGGGGGCTTTCCCACCCTCCCTGGGGTGAGGGGATAGGCAGGTCTGAACCAGCAGGAACCGGAGGCCTGGGACTGGGTTAGCAGGAGGGAGGGTGGTTCCCGGCAGCGCAGCCATAAGGAGTAAGGGCAGCCTGGCCCAGTGGTTCAACTGGCCCAGGCCAGGTTCTGGACCGCTGGGTTTTGTTCCTGGCTCTGCCCCCATCTCGCTGCGCCTCACCTGATGCATGTCCTTGGCTAGGGGCCTGCACAGCCCCTGTCACTGTGCCTGGCATGGCCCTGCCCCAAAGAGCTGGTGGTGATTGGGGGGTGCCAGCCAGCAGGGTGGAGGGGTCATGGCACCAAGCCCCAGTCGCTGCTCTGCTCGGTGGAGCTGGCAGAGCTGCCTGGGGGTAGGAAACACCGGCAGGGCAGAGGGTCAGGGCTGGGGGATGTGGGGAGCAGCCACTTACTGTGAGGTAACCTCTTGCCTGCTCCTTGTGGCCCCTGGGAAGGGATGCAGCAGAAGGGACCCTTGCCAGGCCAAGAGAGGGGAGTCACACCGCGCTGGGGCTGTGAGCATGTGGGAGGGGCTAGGGGTTGCCCTGAGCTGATGGGAGCGGGGGATGCTTGGGGCAGGGTGGGGGGGTTATAAGAGTGCGGGGGGTGGGGTGGATCTGTTTCCATGTGAAATGAGGAATGTCAGCAGCCAGGCAGTGGGCAACTCAGTCTGCCCCTGGAGGCCCGGCTGTTGGGCGTGACCCCTCGTGTCCCCAGGCTCTGCGCTGGGGAGGGGAACACGGGGTGGTGCTTGCTGACGCAGAGGGGCAGGAGGGCTTTCAGCCGGGGTCGGATGAGCTGGGAGGGCGGCTGCAGAAGAGGTGAATCTTGTGCCTGGGGGGAGGCTAGTGGAGGGCAGAGTGACAAAGTGCCTGGATGTTTTCTTTGGGGCTCCCTGGGCAGAGAACTGACACCCTGGAGCTCACGTCCTCTGGCCCTCTCCCCTGCCCACTCCTACTGGCAAAGGGGCGGAGATCTGCCCCCCACCCGCCCCGCCCTTGTTTCCTCCCTGCTGTGGCTGTTGCAATCCCAGATTGCAGAGCAGTGTTAGCAGTGACGTGTGCTGGCCCCCCTGCGGCTCCCCACTTCCTGGGGGGGGGGAAAGTTCCTCCTTCCCAGCCTCCTTCCCAGAGTCTCCCAGACAGGGGGCCTCTTCAGGAGGGGGCCCTGGAGTCATTTGATCCCAGCGGCTGCAGACAGGGCTTGGAAAGGAAGCAGCTGCTGATCTGCAGAGCTGGGGGGGGGATGTGAGACCCAGGCTGTGTCCGGAGCTGAGCTGACCCCATCAGGCTAGGGTGACTGGGCTGACCCCCTTCCCCAGCCCCCATTGGAGCAGCTGGCCCGCATGGGAGAGACCAGGGAGGAGTGTGCTGAGTTTCCTGGTTCTCAGCCCTGCCAGCGGGAGCACCTGAAGGGAGGCCGTTTGACTCCCCGGCCCTGGCTGGACCACCGGAAGGGGCTGGCGGGAGGGCCTGCCATCCCTGGGCCCCAGCCTGGCCAGGTGCTTTCCCTGGTGGGGCTGCTGTAAAGGCCATGTGGGGGCCAGGAATTCCAGCTGCGGGTGGGGAGGGGCTGGGAACAAAGGGGAGGTGGCACTGGGCCATGGCAGCTCCTGCCGTGCCAGGACCCGCTTGGTCAGTGTGGATGGGAGATGGGTTTGGAATGGCGATTGCCACTTCTGCCATGCTGTGCCACCCGACAGGTTTGCAGAGCCCTGGCGAGCCAGCTGCAAGGGGCTGGGGCTGACTAGCATGGGGTGCTTCAGTGAGTGACATCACCCTGCTTCACGGGAGCAGAGCTGGGGATAGAACCCAGGAATCCTGACTCCTAGTGCCCCTGCTCTAACCACTAGACCCTGCCGTCTCTGAGCCCAGTAATGACTTGCTCTGTGAATCACTTCCATTTTCTTCCTGCATCTGACTCTGCAGTGCGAGCTCTGGGCGGTGGGGGCTGCCAGTGGGGCAAGGCAGGCTGATTATCTGGGAATTCTCTCTCCAGGGCAGGGCAGGGCTCCCTGATGCTGGGGAGTTGGAACCGGACGGGGCTAAGCCCTGGAGACTGGGTGCAGGGGGCCTTGGCAGCTCCTGGCAGTCTGTCTGCAGAGCCGGCTCTGACCTGTCACCCAGGTCGTGGGGTTCCAGGGGGAAATGGTTGGCGCCTAGTGGGGGCAGCGGCTGGCTCTGTATGGGTAGCCTGGGTGGCCCTGTGCCCACCACTTCCTGCCGAGTGAGCCAGGAATAGCTGAATAGTTTCTGTGCTGTGCCCTCGCCCGGTCCCCGCTGCCCCTAGTGCCAGGACACGGCACAGCCGCCGCGCGGGCAGGTGCCGGAGCTCGCAGTGGCAGGTTCCCGTCTCCTTGCTGCCTGCGTTGGAATGCCAGACAGGTGGATGGGCCTCCTGCCGCCCCGCCCCGAACAGGTGAATCACCGGTTGTGGCGCTGCCTGGCCTGGAGCAAGAGTAGGATCTGGATTGGGCCTTGTTGCCTGGCTGCTGGAAATCATGGGCTGGAGTGTGGGACTGGAGCACCAGCTGAATGCTGACCTGGCCTAGTGCCAGAACAGGCACAGTGCCCCCAGCCCTCTGCCCCATCTCACTGGAGCAGGCTCCCGTCTGCATGCTGGGTTCTTGGTGCTCTGGAGACAATCCCCCGGTGCTGTGGGAGAATCAGGGGGAGGGGGCAGAGAGGATTGGGTATGGGGGGCAGGAGGGGCATGGCGGGGCCACTGAGGATCAGGGGGTGGGATGGGAGCAGTGGAGGGCAGAGAAGGTCAGGGGAGGGGTGGAAGGGGCACAGCAGAAGCAGAGATGATTGGAGATGGGGCAGAAATGAGCAGCCGGGGGGTGGGGGTGGGAGAGGCATGGTGGGGCACAGGGGGCAGAGAGGAGCAGCCGACAGGAGACTGGAGAGGGGCAGAGGGAAGCGGCCAAGAGGGTGGGGGTAGGGGGAGAGGAACGGTGCGGGGGCACGAGGGGGCAGCTGGGAGGGCAGAGAGGAGCGGTGGGGGGGGGGCACAGGGGACATCCAGGAGGACAGAGAGGAGCGGCCAGGGTTGGGGGGCAGAGAGGAAAGGCCGGGGGGATAAGAGGGGGGCAGAAGCAGAGAGGAACAGCTGGGGGGGGGCGGCAGGGGCAGAGAGGAGCAGCCCTGGGACAGAAGGGGGGCAGGGGGTAGAGAGGGGTGGCCGGGGGACAGGACGGGAGAGACAGGGAGCAGAGAGGCGCAGCTGGGCAGGCAGGAAGGGAGTCGGGGACAGAGAGGAGCGGCCAGGGGGGCAGGACGGGCGTGGCAGGGA